CAAAACCCTCAACTTGTCATAGGTTTTATAAAATTTTAACAATAAATGCGATAGTTATAAACAAATGAAAAAATGGGCACTTTTTTTTTTTTTTGCAATAACTTTTTTGTTTATTAACCGATTTTAATTTAACAAGTCTCATTTTGTAGATAATTTTACTCCCTACAAGCTGTCCGAGTCTGAACTTTTCGCTAAAATTGATGGTTTTCCCTGCAAAGTGAAAAAACTGTTTTCCTCATTTATTAGTTTAAATAGAAAAGTTAGCTAATAAAAGTTTTTGACTCACGAGATGAGAAATGTCTTGTATTATGTTCCTTTAGACAATTTTACAATAATCTCGCGGATAGGACTTTTTTCGAGTAAAAATTTAATTTGCTTGGTCTAGTGCTAGTGCTAATTTTTTCAAGTAGCCGTGCATGTGAACGTGTGTGAAATATGAACGTGTTCCCGCTCACTGAAGACATTACATGCAAACTTTTTGATTAAATGTATCTAAATTAGTTATAGTTGACTTGGTTCAGTTACGTTCGCGATAAAATTGATTTTATAGAGCATTAAAGTCTATTGTATAGCATAATCTCCAACAACAAAGTTTCAAAGAAAGAGTGTGTCTATAGTTCATTATGTCCGACCTGAAAACCGAAAATATTTCGACTAATTTCAATATCTATTAGAGACATACCTGCAAAGGAAAAAGTACGAATAGTTTTAAGAACATTGTTATCGCAACCTATAATTTAAGACATTTACATTTCTGAAAATAAAAAATATACTTAACTCTTCAACAGTTCAACCCAATTACAGTACAATTTATATTAAAAAAAAAGTCAACGTGGTTTAGAAAAACGTAAAGTCAATTCAACATGAAACGCATGCTTTTATTTAAATTAATGCCTCTTTTTTTAATTTTAGAAATTATGACATGCATAACAACCATTTAAAAACATTTAAGCAAAATTTCCATTTTGTGAATTTTCTAGAAAAGCAATCGACAGTTAATCGTTAATTTAAAAAGAGACATGATTTACACAATGGTTCCTAAAATCACCATAAAAATAAATTGTGTGAAAATTCGACACTTACGTTGTGGCCAGCAACAAATTGTAGATTTCTCAATTTTCAAACATTACTGTACACTGAAAGATAACGCGCTTTATTCTTCATTATAATTCTATATGCCTTTATAAGAACATGGTATACTATATGTGACGGATAAACAGGTGAATATTATACAAATTCGGATACTGGTTTACGCAACTAATCTTTCCTACTATACAATTGGAACATAAAGCCTATAACACATAATAATGTATAAGTAATTCATTATAACCTTTATTTCATAGATGCATAAAGGCGTATTAAGCACCTTCTAGTTAAACTAGTTGGATACTGAGTATGGAGATTGATTTTTTTTTAATAAAAGTTGTATATTTGTTCAAAAGTCTTAATATGAGCTATACACAAAAATATGAATATTATACTTGTATATCGCCAGATTATTCTAGAGAAACAATTTAGTAAGCCCATTTCTTTCAGTGTATGATTGATACGACTTGTTCCTGTCACGAATTTAGGATAATTCTGTGAAATTTTATAACAATGTTTTTTGAATGCATGGTAAAAAACAATTTTTAAGAAAAACACCTACTGTAGTTTTCCCACAAAATGGTAGAAAACACCAGTGACAGCCATTCGTTTCGTACATTTTATTTCTATTGCACATAATTTTTAATTATTAGTCTAGCGATGTACAAGTATAATATTCATATTTTTGTGACTTTATGAATCAATTTATAGATGAAATAGAAATTTTCATAAATACCATAGACATATTTAAAAAATTAGTAAATTTCAAGCTATTCTTGTAGTAAGCTTCAGAAAACTGAAACAATTGTTTAAAAAAACACAATATGAAGGCAGTGATATCATTTGACAGATAAGTTATTGTTTTCCAGAGCACACTTTCCAAATATGACAACTGTCTGGCTCAAACTTGAAAATTCCTTTTTTTGTTAATTACTTGGTTTATAAAATGTCAAAAATATGGCATATTAGGTATATACTGTTGGATTTGTAATCATGCTTCAGCTATTTTTTTTTTTTTTCACTATAATAATAAAACCCCTGTAAATAATATCTAAAACATCTAAAATATATTAATGGTTTTTCGGTAGTTGGCTTTGTTAGCATGCTTTATAAGAATATTAGACCATGAAAATAATACTTACAAAATTGTATTCAATGTACATAGACATTGTTTTTTCTATTTTTAAGATTTTGAAAAAGTTCCCCATTCTCTAAAAAAACATTTAATGTGTCAATTTTTTCAGTTGCGCATTTTTTGACACTGTTGGACGAGGGAAATGTGTAAAGCAAAAGTCAAGTAACGCTAAACGATTTGTAAATGTAATGTATTTATGAACGCAAAGTTCACACAAAGTTCCTATTGTACCAATTTTTAACAGATCAATTAAAATAAATCATTTAGGTTGACAGTATTAGCCATGAGGAAGTTTTAAAAATAAAACGATTAAATAAAGGCGAATTAAAAAAATAATAAATGGTGTTTCCCGGTACAGGATATTTCGCCTATTCCTAGAAAAACACTTACAGAAACGAATCATTCCCGCCAGCAGCTCACCAGTTGCAATCCGCCCACTGCAAATTCTCTTTGAAACTGAGCGCGCGCTTTCCGCGAAAAGTGTGTCAGTTCGGCCAAAGTCACGGAGCGTCCGGCGACTGTTCAGGGTGATCGCGTGGCGTCGACGGATAGAGGAGCTAAGCGTCCGCGATTTGTTTCTTGCCAATTTGCTTGCGGCAGATGCGCAGGTGCGACTGTTCATTCATGTTTTTCTTACCCATTGGAATTGAATGGGTGGCCAATTAACCGAAAATGAGTAAGCTTTAGGGTTTTCTAATCATATGTAGTGCTGCTGCTCATTCACCGATTCTAATTTTTGGCAGTGTGGGACTTGCTTTATCGAGAAGCCCAACTGAGGTGTATCAGATAGAGCTCAGGGCGAAGCATTGGATTTTATAATAATAATATCCATGCGCGTTACCGGGCTTGCGTTTTCCTCGTTTCCTCGCATATAACGAATTTTACAACAAACTGAACTTGTAAAAAAGGTAAAAGTTCCTCCTACCAATATACACTATACAGTGTGTAACTAAAAAATGCTTGATCATATTTGAATGACGGATTCCACGACACAGAAAGAGGTTGTGCCACTCAAATTATTGAAATTACCTCGTTTTTTGCCAAAATTTAATTCAGTACACAAAGACACGTAAAAATTAGGAACAATTCCGTAGAATTGAATGAACTACTTTACCGCAACTGAATGTTAGGGCTTCATTTTCAAAATGGCGTCCAAAGTCCGCAAAAAACAGTTTTTTTCCCATTAAAAAAAACAAAGGTTTCCCTCCCCTTCTTTTCGTGTTTTGAGTCAACTTTCGCGCGTGCAAGCGACAGCTTTTCCACTGATTTATCTGTGTTGCTGATGCTATGGATATGAAAATTTGTTCCAGTTTAGAACTTGGAAAAACGGAGCCACTGAATCAAAAATTATTGCTAAAGTGTTTATAAATTAACGGTAAATGCCGATAAACTTTGACCGCTTATATCTCGAGAAACAATAAACGGAATTTAACTTTTTTTTTTAAGAAACGTCTTTCCGAGTACTTTAAAATTACCTATAATTTTTGAAAGAAACTAAATTGCAAATTGATAAATATTAAAAATATTAGTAAAAATAAAAAAAAGTGTTAACTTTAAAAATTTACTGTGGCCGACCTAATCAACCGATTTCAATGTTTCAAAAACCATTTGAAAGGTTGAGCGGTCTTTTCTATGTGAAAACATATTTTCAAGCATCTAGATATTTTATTTGAGGCTGCGCAAAATTTTGAAAATTGGAACATTTTTTTTTCAAATTTTTTTTCAAAAAATTACTTATTTTACGAAAACTATAGAACCGATTTTAATGAAATTTGGTGTGTTGTTTTATTATACTATAAAGTTTTTTTTTACCAAAATTAGAATGCCCTCGGAGCAATTAAAAAAATTTTTTTAAAATTATCCACTTAATTTTTTTGCCATTTTTCATCAATTATTGCTATTTTGCAACATCAGTAGTAAATTTAAACATTTTTAACTTGCAGTATATTGTGCAAATTTCAATTCTAGTTTTTTTTCCTCTTCAATATTCTTCCAAAGTGCATAGGTTCCAAGATATAAGTAAAAAACTCAGATAAAATAGGTATTTTTTAAATTTTTTAAAACATTTTTGCAATTTTGAAAATGTTCCGGACCTCGCCCAGATCTAGGCATCTACACTTTTATTATGTGAGTTGTATTGAAGGTATTCCAGCAAAAATTAGCTTGCCCCTTTTACATCCAAGAAGTGGAATATTTCGGATAGTTAATTACTTAAAGAAGATAGTTAGGACTAATCAATTTCTACTTATGACTAAATGATATCTATCTCGTACACATTAAAAATTGATTTGTCGATTAAGTTTATATTATTGACGTACTGCGACTTCATAATTCCATTTTTATTCTCGCGTATGTAATGGAAGAGACATTTTATCGTTAGCATTCGCTATTCATTCGCGGACGATTCGGATGGGTAAGCCGGCAGAATGGCAGTTATGGGACAAATAAAACCGTAAACTACCGGGAACAGGTGTTCAGCATAAACGTAGAAAGGTAAAACATTTCGTACGATCGTATAGCATATATCATAAATAGCCATTTTATAACCGAAAAGGTAAAACATGAATTATTGTGTTAGCTTCTTTTTAATGCGCACTCAGGAATTGTTTTTAAACTTATCCAATTATTCCTAGATTCATATTCTAAGAATTCGTCAATAATTAAATAGTTTAAATATGTGTAAAATTATCATTTTCGTGTCTATGAGTGTCTATTACATATTCTCTAAGACAAATTGCAAGTTCAAATTGTACGCTTTCATAGTAACGACAATATCGTTTTTCCAGTGATTCTCGATTTCGGTAAAATGTTGATTAAACAAGTAAGTTATTTATCCAGTCAGTACTGTAAGAACGTATTATGTTTATATCCGAAGGGGTATGAATAGAAGAAGAAAACCGAATTATCTTTTTGTTACCGCATGTATATCTTTTATGTGTAACTTCAACAAAGTCTTGAAGTCATCGCTCATTTCCTTGACAGTTACCATTGTAAAAATTCACAAGGTTACGAAATATTACGAACACTCGGAAATTATTGTCAAACCAACGTGAATATTGTACCTAATACAGTCATTTTATGCGAATAGTAGTGCGTATAACCTTGAAGAAGTCTACAATCCTCAATAGTAGCACATTATTTATTACAATGATATTCTACATATATTTACCTAGTAGAGAAATATACAGTAACATTAAAAAAAAACAAGATGTATCAAACCACCATTATTATTCCATTTATAAAAGATCATAATTTTTTTCCACATCTGATTGTGAGTAAAATATGATTTTAGTAATTCACCCACCTATTTGTGATGAGCATACATAGTGCATACATATATCGGCAATATTTAAAAAAATAAATAATCTCATTTTGTGACTGGAATTGCCTAGTGAAAAAATTTAAGCACTTGTTTATTCAGGACGTTAGGTAAATAAAATTATTGAGAATTGGGAAAGATGGCACATACACAAGAAAATTTATCTTTCAGTGGAAGAGGATACAGAATAGATTCTCAATGATATAGCATTAAATTGAATTCTGATTTAAAAAAACTTTCCAGTTTTCTTTTTATTTAAAAATAATTCACGAGTTTTCACGAATTATTTTTGTCAGGAAAAGTGCGGAGATAATACGAAAATCTGAACAGAATCCCTGATAATAAAAAACCAAAACATGGACAGGGGCATTCGGAAGACTGGTCACCTCAGGCGAAACATACGTGTGAACTTTGTTATTTGACTGGAGCAGTGTAAAGTTTTACAGGAAATATTAAATAAAATAACAAGACTTGTAAAAATTTAATTTCGTAAAGGTATTTATTTTTACTAAAGCTGATTTACTGGTTTACGTTACTTAATTAAGTAAAAGCCTTTGAGCTATACTTACAATTAAAAAACTAAAAGTCAGAATTTAGATATAACTTGCCCGATATAAAAAAATACTAAAATAGCCGGAACACCGTTTTGTATGTGGTTATTAAAATAATTTCTTATTTATTAAAATCAATCGTTTATTTTCAAGGACTTTATGTGTATCTTTAGATGTCTAATGAGAAAAAAAACTATAACTATATTTGTTCACCCAATATACAGGGTGTCCGGAAAGGTCATGTCAAAAACGAAGGGGCAATTAAAGTAACTCATGATAATGTTCATTTCCAAGTTTAAACGGATATTCAATATGCCTGGATTATACAGGAGGAGACGAAATTATCCATTTAAATTTATACATCTTTGACAGCTTTGCCAAAGACATTTTTCTTTCATAGTTCGATTCCTCTCAATTTGCTAAAAAAAAAGTATACCATATATCAATCGATATCTTGTATCGTTTTTTTGAGAAAATCGAATTTTATTAACAACATACATGTAAGTAGATATTGTATCAAAAATGCCATATTAACATTTTTGCAATAATCTTAGAAATTGAGATGACTGTCAACAAGTATGTATAATTAGCAGTTAGATATTTGTCATAAATCATTTTGACACCATTTGTTGATTCAATATCATGTAGGATTTTAGCTATAAAGAATTTGATTTTTGTCTTTGGGGCCATCTTAAAAGTCTTGTTTATGAAATTCCTATAAATACGAATTAGAAATTATTAAATCGCATAATTACATACGCCGACATCATTAGAATTGTTACTTTGAGTACAGCAGAGGTGTTAGAGCAAGACAATGCAAATTGTATTTTTTCTTTTAATTCCATAGAAACCAAGATTTTTACAAAAATGTTATTATCACATTTTTGATACAATAAATGTACGTTGTTAATACAATTCGATTTTCTCAAAAGCGGTACAAGATATCGAGTAATTATCGACTGATGTACGGTATACCTTTTTTTTAACAAAGTGAGAGAGGAATCGAACTATGACAGAAAAAAGTCAAATATGTATAAATTTAAATGGATTAAAGTTTAAAATTGGAAACAAACATTACCATGAGTTACTTTAATTGCCCAAATTTCATTGTCATGGAACGACTTAGAAGTTATAATCGGTATTTCTTTTTCAAACTTCTTTCTTTGAAGGCGATTAACTCCACAACGAAGCCCGAAATAAAACATTTTTTATGAAGTACTACAACTATTTTGAGCTCCCCTACACACCCCTTCATTTTTGACACGACCTTTCCGGACACCCTGTATATTATATTCTATTTAATCGATATATTTCATCCTACCTAACAAAGCTGAATTGTTAGTTTTACTGATAAGAGGTAAATATTGGACAGAATAAAACGTGCGATCGAAATTATGTCCGCAATACATAAATAAGCCACATACAGTCACCAACGAGGCCACCAGCTGTGGGAATGGGAAGTTGAGCCGGGCTTGATTTACTTTACATGTAACGTTAAGATTTGCTAGGTCTTCCCGACTTCAGCACATCAGTCACATCACTATTATAGCGGAAGGTCTATTCGGTCGTCAGACTTTCCTCGAGATAAGCCAGCCTCCTGCGTTTCGATCATCTAACCCGATTTCAAATCCTCCCCTTACAGAAAATTTAATATACGGCACATTGGATATCTAACTTGATAACTAAAATGAAGTAGGTAAATCGCTAAAATACGAATCATTATGCGTCAATTTTAGAATTATAAATTTTTACAAATTGTTTAATTACTCTAATTCCATTATTGTTTTACGGGCCGATTGTAGTCGATACTTTTTGTTTATGCCTTTAAAATTATAAAATGAAATTGAAATCAGTTCTTCCAAAATTTCGAATTACCTAGCCCATGTCACTTTTTTATTCGTTTTTTTTTTTTTTTTCACCAAAACGGCTGGCTCTAGCGGACAGATATAAATACCCCCTTTTGTAGAAATACATTACTTTCTGTCTACCCGTTCACATTATCAATATCATGGGGAAAAAACGGGCGCAAATGATGTTTTACAGGATTTATTATTCCAAATTCGTTAAATGGACAGATATTGTTTCACCGCTAGACTGACCCTTAAAATAAATTGTGGAAACATTGGCACATATTACTTTTTACCTATTCGTGCTACAGTGTGCGTATTTACATTTTGCTTTGAATAGGTTAGGGCAAAGGTAAAGATATTTACGAAAAAGGTTTTCAATAATTATTTAATGCTATTTTTGCATACACAGAAATACGTGCAAAGTGTAGAATCATCTAAATGGATATTTATTGGTTCCCAGGCTCGATGTCTGTCCATAGCTGTGTTGAAGAAATGTCATGTATGTGTACACACCCTTCAGAATCTAAAAATAGATAACCTACATTTTGTAAGGGTTAAATCAATTACCATATTTCTAATAATTGCTTAATAATACACTCTGTATATGTCGATCCACTTGAAACAAATTTTTGTTCATTCCATATGAAAAATAAAAATAATAGCGATAGGTACTGTACATGAAGCAAGTGAAACTTATTCGAGAGAAAGAGAAAACAATAGGTATATATTTAAAACAGAAATATAATACTTTTCGTCGAACTGTCCCACCAGATCCTTATTTAAGTTGAAGTCAATAAATCTTTGCTAACTAAGTCAGATGGGTCATTGGTTGCACATAAATTGCCTCCTTAATGCAATAAGCCTAAGATTTGGCTCTTTCTTTGCGGCAAACGAACCGTTAGACAAGATAATTGGATACACTTCCTTCAAAACAATTAATTAGGCAATTAAGATTCTAAATTAATTTTTTTTACGAAATATCGTCGTTATATGATGTATTAGTGAAAAATAGGTTCTCTAATACACACAATAGGAATTTTGAAAAAAACTCATTTACTTAAATATCTGTTCGTCTCGAATATTATTTACACGCAATTGGCTTACTTTCAAGGCCATAGTCAGAGACATTTCTCCAAATGGACCAACGCTCAGGGATAATGGTCGTTGAGATCGCATCATCATTATATGAATGGTACTGCTGGTAGTTCTACTATATTCGTACCAATCCGATTCATAGAGAGCTTCGGATATCGCCATGCTCTGTAATTATTGTAACACGTAATCAGAATAGAAGTAATCTAAATTAATTTAGGAGTCTATCAGAAATTCATACGTACACATGTATTTCCTGCCTTTAGACAAGGCGAAATCGGCGGCTTCGTATGAAAAAATTTGTGGATTCGATTTTTTTGCATAATCACCTCCGTGAGATGTCTCTGAATGAGGATCAAAATGTTACCGGCCGGTAACCTGGTCAAAATTTTTTTAAACTAATTTTTTTTAAACAAATTGCAAAAATAACTTGTTTTGCCCCGGAAATTATTATTTATTATTATTATTTTGTCAAGGGATGTTTAAAGGTTACTTTTAAACTTTAGTAACATCAAAAACTTGATTTTTTGTTATTGTTTTTGAGTCTTGAAAATGGCCGTTTTTGCATTTTTTCGTACATTAAATTGTTTATAACTCAGAAACCGTTGATTTTAGGAGCATAGTGCATAGGAACTATTTTGTTTAGAATACCCCAAAATACCTATTAAAACTTTTTCCGGAGCAAAACAAGTTATTTTTGCAATTTGTTTAAAAAAAATTAGTTTAAAAAAATTGTGACCAGGTTACCGGCCGGTAACATTTTGATCCTCATTTAGGGACATCTCACGGAGGTGATTACGCAAAAAAATCGAATCCACTAATTTTTTCATACGAAGCCGCCGATTTCGCCTTGTCTACTTACTCTTTTTGCAAGATTGTGTTAAATATTCAAAACAACTAATTGTTTTAAGGTACCCACCTCATGTCTTATTTCGTCAGCGTGCCAGTAGAACAAAAGCATATGCACCAGAAGCAATAACACATGTACAATGCAAACAACTACTGTGTTTGCAGACCGACTCTAAAACAAAGACGGTTGATTTTGTAATTTATCCATAAAATTATTTGTGACAACCATTTTTCTCTCTTAAAATGCATCTTATACATTTTTTTAAGTAGGTAATTTTTCAAGTTATCGTTTTCTACAGTTTTTATTATAACAATTCAATACTCACAGTAAATCCTTCAAATGCAATTAAAGCGATCTGAGCTGATAACACAATAAATTCCAGCAGTGTGACGTTTCTTAGGCAGTTATTTAAAGTATTTGTGATTCTGAAAGTAATATCTACCATATATTACACTGTTTTGTGGGAGGAAATTCAAATACACTACAGAAACATACTTACTGCATGATCTTGAGATGCTCTAAAACGCAATACCTAATTACCGCTTCGACAGTAATATTCTCATCATTTTCTTTGAATTTGCTCATATATATTTTAATGTTTTTTAAAAGGCATCCCAAAACTTTCAGTCTGAAGCTCGTGTAAAGCAGTAACACAATTATCACAACCGGAACCGTAGAATAGTAAATACAGGTGATAAAAAGAAAATACAAGTTTATAGCAAATGCTAGTAGGTAGTGATTTTTTTTATCGAATGGCATCCACATATAAAACGGCAATTTTCTTTCTTCCCCGTCGACTTGCTCCTTAATTTTATATAAAATAAGATATTTGAGGATGTAAGGGGCCGAATATACTACAGCTGAAGCCACATAAACAAAGATGTTGAACAACTGAATGTACTTTGCACGCTTAACATATCGTTTATAAATATTTAAAACTTTGTCGTCTCTAGAAGCTACGGTCTGTTGTTCCACAGCGACCATGTCACACATTAAACCACCAAAATTCGTATTCCTACATATGAACATTTTTATAGCCAACACTGTATAAGTCGTTATTAAGTTTAGGCTCTCTATAAATTTTTCACTGTCGTTCCAAATATAAGGAAATTCCAGGTACATAAATGTTAATAGGAATAAATAGAACACATGTGACGTGTTCCTAAAAAGTTTGTACCGAGTTTTGTTACACGTGAGCATGTCGTAAGGCACTATTCCAGTGATTAATAGGGTGTGTTTTAGATAGTGAAGAAAAGTGACGCCCATTTCCTAAAAGGAAAAAAATTCGTTCGTTTCGAATAATTTTCTCGCTACGGCGATTTATTTAAATAACAAAAATTATCTGCTAGATTTTGGAGAATTTTTAACCATTTGTTAAAATTTTAATGGCATCTACACCTAATAAATATATTAAGCCTCACCACACTTTATGTGGGTGAAAATTTGACTATCACTTTTTAATTATTTATAAATTATTTAAAACACTAAACTATATTATTTTTTGAATATAGTACAGATTTCATATCAACAAACATGAAATATTTGTAGAGCAAGTAAAATACGTACGTAATAATTTTGTGTAGATTTATTCCAACTTTGTTTTGGTTATTTGAATTCTCAACTAATTTGCTTTACTTGATTCTGTTTTATTTGAATGATCTACCCGCTTTGGACTCTTTACAACCCACACCTTTTACTTACTGGGTGTGATAGGAAAGCAGAAAACTTTTAATGAATTTTTAAGCACTGTAATTATCATCACTTAAGTAAATCTATTCAAATTACTGAAAATGGTTCTCGTTATTCTATGTAAGATATTTACAGTATTGTATTTTGTATTATATGTCTTGTATTACCTATCTACGCGTTTACTTTATATATTTATAATAAATGCTGCTGCTGAAACAAAACAATATTTAATTTACGTTCATGGAGACTCATTATCCTTCCGATCCTATCATAAGTAAGCACAATATTCATTTTTAATATACCTTTTGACTCTATTATACTGTTATGTCCAGTAGAAAAATATATTTGAAAAAGGTATTCTAGTGAAATTGGAAATTATAGATCATCATTTATCGAGACCTTGTAATAATTACCATAAAGAACAATGTTAAAAAAAAATGGGAATTATCTGCCCATCCGTGGGAAAGTGTGCGATGCTTCTTTTTTATCCACTAATTTTGGGGTGCAGAATATGAATCCGTCATTCTTATCAGACAAAAATGTCGGGAACACAATGAAAACTTCCCTTTTTTGGGCGTGTATTGGAGTTGACATTGTAACTTATAACAACTATGTGTGGTTCTAGGAGCGGTTAATTTTTGTACGACTTTATACTTTAAAAACACTGTATTTTGATAGCTAAGCTCCTAGAACCACTTGTAGTTGCAAGTTACAATGTCAATTCCAATACACCCCCAAAATAGGGGAGTTTTCACTGTGTTTCCGACATTTTTGGCCGATAAGAACGACGGATTCGTATTCAGTACCCCAAAATTAGTAAAAAAAGAAGCATTGCACACTTTCCCCCGGATGGGCAGAAAATGCCCATTTTTTAACATAGTTCTTTGTCATCTTATATAAGAAAAACAACACTAGAAAGAGTTGCTAACAATTAGCTACTAATATACTTTCTCTTGCAACAAATTAGTGCACTGTGAATTATAAAAAAAAAATGTACATAGTAGTACTGTCAACTGCGATATAGGTAGAAACGAACTCACAAACTTTAAAGGGTGAATCTTTGACTAACTTTAAAACAAAAAGTTCATATGAACATAGGTCCACAACGGCTTTGTTCTTGAGATACAGGATATCCAAGAAAATTTTTGTTTCAGCAGTTATTGTAAATGTTAATAACTTATTTGTAGAAGTAGTTTAGTCTTAAGCTCGGTCTTAAGTTTGTCACATCGCAATACAATCAATAAAAGACAAATTTTTTCACTCGTTTTTCAAAAACTATGATTCAACTTACAAAATTCCAACGCAGGTTTATTAGTCCTGATTTTTTTTAATTATATGACTACCTGCTTCAATGTGACAAAAAGTTAGTCTTTCGTTTTGACAAATTTTTAATTTCTCAAATTCTATACAAATTTCTCAACCTAAAATTTCTATATAATTATTTGAAGATTTCTGATTTTCTCTTTTAAAAATTTCTAAGAAAAAACATTTCTACTTGTTATTTCATTTTTTGTATTGTAGGAAGCGGAACACAGAACAAGAAAGCCACAGACTTCTAAGATATTAGCAGTCTGTGAAGAAAGCTTATTAGCTTATTACCTATTGATACACCTATTCAAATAAGATTTAAAATTGGATGATGTACACACATCACTGTTTGTCTCTCTCTCTCACTGTGCTTTTTAAAATGTTAAACAGTAAGATGGAGAATTTGCAAAAGCGTAACCCATTAACCGTACTATAATAGACGCAGACGGAAAACAGCCGAGGTTCCCGAGAATAGCCTATAGCCGCGGCGTAATAAAACAACCGATTGCACAGAATCGGTTTCAGAAAAATTTACATTTTAAAAAATATGTACCTTTACACTTTACCTAAAAACATGTAACCAATATATACCTTTGCAATATTATGTAACTACTACATAAAATATATACCAGTGCGGACGCCGTTATTCATGCAAATAAAAAAAAACAGGAGTATTCATATGATTAATCGAAATATATGATTATAAATTCAAGTCGTTTTCTAGAAATTAAACACAAACAATAGAATTACAAAGATCTCCAAAAATTTGATATTCCACAAATTCATAATAGGTAAGAGGTAGCGTGCAAAAAGAAAGCTTACCACTGAATTTCGAACAGCGTGTCTAACTCCACTGAAGAATCGCCCCCACATATCCTGAAACATTCACTCGCGAATTAAGGCTTTATCACTAGAAAATACACCGAGATAACGTAAATTGCCGAATATTTCTAGACACTCGTCCCTGGCTCAACTCACCGCAATCAACGGATATCAACGAATTTAGTCACTAACTTGATAACGGCAATCTGCAATCAACATAACACCGATTAGTTACTTATGGTCACTGTTACTAACACTCTTTCATCACTACACTACATGCTTGGTAAACTGTAAAACATTGTTACCTTTTTTCTGTTACGGTCTATAAACACTCGCGTATTTTCTAAACATTAGTGTGGCGGTGTATTCGTACTTTTTTGTAGTAGGTTATGAAAGCTGATAATAATTACATTTAAACGCCGTCTTTCTTTTGTTTAAAACCCAAACATTTTTAGTCATAAAATCGCCATATCCTGAAGAAGCGTGGGTTGTCTGAAATTCTTAGTTTTTAGTTTTTCTGTTAAAGATACACTTCTAATTATTGTTTCTGTATAACACTGACGTTGTTATTTAAACGTTTCAACACTACGGAACGTAAAAATATTACGAATTTTTCACTTTATGATGAATATTTTTACACAAGCGAAGCACTGCGCCGCCATATTTAAATAAACAGTCCACTTCACAGCCTACTACTTAACTACGTACTACCAACCAATAGCCAATGAGAATGAGCAATAGTCCAAGAGTTTGATCCGAATCGGTCATAATCGACAATCTTCGATTTTGTAGTGTGTTCCTATTCAAAAAAGGCGGCTCGCAGAATTTAGCTCAGAAAGGATAAATAAATAGGCAGTGCTGCTAATAAGGATATATTTAGGGTCGTATGACACTATGCTAAAATTATAACTAATTTCAGTAATTAACTAAGAACTTTTTAATCTTGCATAACAGAAACTGCAACAATTTTTGTCAGATATACAAGGTGTGCCAAATATTCACCAATAATAATGTTCCAGTGTTTGGTATCAGTTTTTTTATGTTTTTGTTGGGACATTTTCACTATTGAAGGGATTGGAAATTCATCTTACAAACATAAAATCCAAGCCGTCTTAGCGAGATACAATGGTACTCAATGGGGATATTGAAAACCCATGTATTTCAGTTGATTGATGTAGGTAAATAATAAAGAATACGACACCACATTGCACGAATTTTTAATATTTGTCCGACAAAGTACCTATTAAAAAAATATTGCCTGCTTTAAAACGATCATTATTACCAGGTACATGAAAGGGACAAGGTAAGGTTTAGAATTTTAAATGTTTTTTATTATATAAATTTATTTTATACATGCTATCTACAAATTCAGATTATGCCCAGAGCTGAGATGCTCAGAATGCCTTCGCCGACAGCCGTAGTAAATACAGAATTTTTACTGAAAATAGAAGACCCGAACAGTTTCGTGGTATTATAAAAAAGCGTATATTTGTGTTTAGAATTTTTAGAAATGGCACTGGTTCATCACACAGCCAGCCTTTAGATAAATTGTTAGTAAGTTATAGTTATTTTTTTTTTAGCCCTCACTTTGTTTATAGCCGCATCTTCCGTAATCGCTGAAACATGGTTTTTAACATTATTATATTAATACAACGCCATAAAATCAAAAGTTACTGTACTGTCACACAAAGACTTGACTAAGTCGGCAACATCAATCTAAACATAACCTATAAATCTAACAAATTTTTTTAATTTTTGATTATCTTTTTTTAAAGCGCGGTAGTAGTCTTTATGAATAAGAAATTTATACAAAATAGAATACAAACTAATAATGAGTTTTCATGAAGATAGATTTTAGAAGGTGACCTCTTTTCTTATGTTAAAATTTGATACGAATTAAGTATTTGTATATTTTAATAAATTTGAATATCATAGAGAATCGTTTAGGACGTTACGAAACCGTTTTGACTGACTAGATCAATTTTAGATGTTGTCCGTGCTTCTATATCTGGCTAACTTGAAGATTGGTATTGTTTCGTAAGCATAATGAAAAAATTTGGTATAGTTCCGGGGATTTTAAAAAACAGTTTAACTATTAATGATTTGCCAACATTAAAGTCGTACCCCATAATAGGACATGCATATTTGTTTTTTCCCGGTGGTAAGTTTTAATTTTTAATCAGCAATTTGCAAAAGCAGATTCGATTTATTTTAGGAAAATATAGGTCAGACAAATTGACGGAAGCAATTCAAGACATTAGTTATCAATTAGGTCCAATTTTTAGACTAAATTTAGGGGGAAAAGATTTAGTGATTTCTACAAATGCAGACCACACGGAAACACTTTTCCGCAATGAAGGAATCAGACCAAACAGGCCCCCTTTTCCTGCACTTTACTATTATCGAAAGGAGGCTTTTAATAGTGTAGGAGTTGTGCCTGGCAATGGAGATGAATGGTACAAATTCCGTAGTGGAGTTACTTCACTACTTAGAACGAATTTATTGCAGAGTTATGTCGAAGTTCAAGAAGATGTAGCCAATTCGTTTGTTGCTTACATAAAAAAACAATGTAATGAAAATGGTGTTCTAAGTAATATACAGGATCATTTGTTGAAATTTGCTATTGAAGGTAACGACAATAAGTTAAATCTTAATATTAAATATTATTACTAAATCTTGATAAGTCTTGCTTATGAAACGGATCCTCAGTTGCTGTTAAATTTCTGTACACTTATATATAAATTTACATATATTAGTCTCATGTATATATGTATTTTTTTCACATGAATAAAAATGGGATATTAAAGCAAGAGAATCATGAAATAAAAAAGCTGCTGCTGTTTATTTTTATGATACGTATTTTATGACAAAAACATTTCAGCTATATCTGTTGTTTGCCCTGGCAATAGATTTCGCTGTACCTCAGAGTCCAGTTGTCAAGATGAAGAAATAATAGCAGCTAGTAATGATTTTATGGAGGGCATGTATGAGACCTTTATCGGGCCACCATTCTGGAAAATATTCAAGACCGCGGGTTATAAAAAGCTGGAGTCGTCACATCAAATTATTTACAGGTATTATTTAAAATTGAGTTACAATGCGTTGTCCATCATATTTGAATTAAAGTTTCTTTTGAAAACTTTTTATCACATCTTTGAATACAGAATAATGGAGAAGCATTTAAAAAATGTTACACGTATGCATTGCCAGAGTCCAGAGAAGTTGATAGCACGACAGCCGTTTATGTACACATTATTTACCAATGAACAACTAACTGATGATGATAAAGTTATGTTATCAATGGAAATATTTTTGGGTAAGCAGGCTTCAAAAATATGAACAAAATTGTGAAAAATCCCACTGCATTTTCAGTACTTTATTATTTTTTGAGGGGGAATCGATACAACCGCAACCACTACAGCTCTTACTTTGTGCTACCTGGCACAAAACGAGCTTGTACAAGAGAAAGCCCGGAAAGACGCTACCACAAAAGACATGAGCTACATAAGAGCGTGCGTCAAAGAAACTTTAAGGTTATCACCGACGGCGGGGGCTAATAGCAGGTTCCTTGCGAGAGATACCAAATTTGATGATTATCTCATACCAAAAGGCGTACGTGAGATTTGTAATTCTCTTATCGACTAGTTTATCATTTTATTTTTTAGACTTTACTGCTGGCATTCAGTTCGGTGACATCGTGTGACAAAAAGTATTTTAAAAATGCTCAAAGTTACTATCCGGATCGATGGCTAAGAGCGAATAATGAGGAATTCCATAAATTTGCTTCTTTGCCGTTCGGTTACGGGCCTAGGATGTGTCCCGGGAAACGTCTGGCGGAGAATGAAATTGCAATTTTATTGAAAAAGGTAAAGATCTCTGAAATCGAGTTGTAAATAAAATTTTTAATATCCAAACACTTATTCGAATAAGTAAAATGTCAAAAAAACACGTCTCGTTCACTTGTACACTGAGAAGGCAAAATTTTTATACCGATTAAGAAATACTAAAAATTTTGGCATTGCAGTGTTACACTTTTTTTTTCAGATTTTGCAAAGCTACAAGTTGGAATTGGAAGCAGATCTGAACGTCGAAATGGTGTATAGAATGAATAGAATACCCGACAGGCCAATAAATATAAAATTTATCAATACAAATTACTAAATATTTATTATTTCATTGTACAACAATACATAGTCTCCATTTACACTTTTATATATATACAGGATTTTATATCTAATTTGATAGTGTGATAATGTTTGTACAATAAAATTTGATTATTTAAAGCTTAATATGACCTCTTTTTCCGGCCACAATTGAATTTTTTTTATTTGATAATCTTCATGATAAGGTTCTATTGTCGATGCTTTTACACATATATATTATATTAAGGCAAACCAGACTTACACGTAACCAATTCGAAACCGATATTCCAACGAAAACATTCATACGCAATACTTATTTGTAAATAAATTTTATATAATTTGTATATTTAAAAATCGTAACATATTATATAGGTACTAGACGGTTTTTAATTAAAACTTAATATTATATCATACTAAACAAAAAAAAAACAAAGTTAAGTTGCACATATAATTTTGGAATGTGTGTAGATAGAACTGGCCTTAAATGCATACCTATACTTAGAAAAGGTAGAACCACAAATTGAGTTTTTTTGCCACGATAACTATAAGGCACAATATGAATTAACGGTAACAAACTAGACTGTATAATGTGACTTACTTGAGGATGCTGGCCACGGAAAAAGCACGAGGTACAAAGTTAAATTACAAAATTGTAACTCGTAGATTTTTGGAATCCATTTTCTTCCAAATCTCTAATTATACAGGGTGTGCCATTTAACACTCCTGCTGCCAATGTCTCCGAAATGAAGAAATTTATTTTAGTTCCGGAAATTGGGGTTGTTAGGTCCCTCGAATAGCTTCAAACTGTAGTTAGAATTGTTTATTCAAATCTTTCTGTATAGATGGCGTGGCTATACTGAAAAATTTTTTATTCCCTGGAACGTGGAAATGCAGTTCATCTGAAAGACCGTTAAATTGTGAGTAATTTTTGTAATATAAAGTTTTTCCCTATATTTACTTGTTTTCGAGATATGTCGACTTCAATATGCAATGGATGATATAACAGAAAAATATATTATTTTATTTAAATCACACCGAGACAAAATATTCTTTAAAATATTGTTATATTGACTTTATTCACATCACATACTAACTAACAAACAGTAAATTATAAAAAAAAAAAAACGAATGACCAACTACAGAAAAAAAATTGTACAATGGTAAATCGTATAACTAGTATAGTTAAATTGAAAGACGGAAACTGATAAAACTGTAATTATTGGAAAACCAATATGTGTCATCTGTCATTGTTTTGTTTTAAACAAATGACATGCGCCACCTATGACTGCATTTTTTAATAACATTTGATAAAATACAGTTCGTCTCTGCCCCTTATAAGATTTACTAGTTATACGATTTACCATTGTAGGTACAATTTTTTTCTGTAGTTGATCATTTGTTTTTTTTTATAATTTATTGTTAGTTAGTTAGTATGTGGTGTGAATAAAGTCATTATAACAATATTTTAAAAGAATATTTCGTCTCGGTGTGATTTAGGTAAAATAATATATTTTCCTGTTATATCCTACATTGCGTATTGAAGTCGACATATCTCGAAAACAAGTAAATATAGTGAAAAACTTTATATTACAAAAATTTAACGATCTTTCAGACGGACTGCATTTCCACGTTCCAGGGATCACAACATTTTTTAGTATCGCCACGCCATCTATACAGGATATCACTTTCAGGTATTAAATACAGTATTATACAATTTTTATTGTTAATATATGGCCGTGGTACAAAAGAAATGTTTTTAATCAAAAGGGATGAAAATTTTTAAAAATCATCGTATAGCGAAAATATTTCCATCCCTTATTACCCTTTATTTATTATTTATATAAAAAAAATTGTTTTACATAAAAAAGTATTTCGGTTGATGGTACAGAACCAAGATATACTCAGTGCATGCTGAGAACAAAAAAAAGTTGAAAACACCTTAGGTATCATCCAAGAACGTTTATCGCTGCAATAGTTTTTTGTAATTCAACCGCGTTTGTACTTCTTATCGTTTCCGAGATTCCGTGATGAACATCCTCAAGCAAGTCACCCTGCATACTTCATAAAACATCAAATTATTTTGTTTCATTACAGAATTTCTAAATAAACATTCAGTACTTTTTTCCGTATCAATAAAATACTGGGAGCGAGTTTACCTTTTTTTAGATTTAAGCCAATTCCATTTTATTTATGGAATTAGGTACGGAAATTTTTTGGAATCGCAGGCGCCTACTGCTTTGTAGCAGAAACGAATTTAATTTTGAATCGATATCCGTTTACCATTTTACTTTACTTTTACCTACCGATTGAATATCATGTGGAAATATTAACGAAATCGTCGATAGTCGTATATAGTGCATTTAAGACAAATTTTTTCTAATGTGAATAACAAATTTAAAGTAAAACGAGATAAAATTAGCGCAGTGTGTAACACGAGTTCAAAATAACACATAAAATATATAAATGAGGTAAAATAATGGTCCGTCCTAAAACATTTACGACGTCAAGAAAGAAATTCAAAACTACACCTAAAACGAGATTCGTAAACATTTTAGAAAACTAATACAAGAATACTAACGAAATATTATAAAAATCACAGAACTTCAAAAAACACACTGCTAATAAAAAATATATTAGCTATAATGTCCACTTTACTATAAAGTTAAATCATATATAATTTACATTACTTATATACACATAAGAATTGTCTTTGGTACATAAAAAATAAATCACTAAAATCGCAAATACCAACTAGAGCCATGAAGGCCTTGTCATGGAGTCGTACGGTTGCCTCATACTTAAAGCGGGATGGTAACCCGGGGGATACGCGCTCGGGGGACCCAGCAACCCTTGGTTCAGCACACCCGCTTGCAAGTAGTGCTGATAGAGGGGCGAACTTGTATCCATCAACTGGGCCTGAGCGTTTGAGATGAACGGGCCCCCTATCGGATACCCGGGCCTCGCCTGTGGCGCTCCCAAGAACGAGTAGCCCGGGGCCGCCTGCGGGTTTGAATTCTGATGGGCCGTCCTACTTTGCTTCTCGTTCGTCTCTGGTGTGGACCTATGGTGCGCAGCGGCGGCGGCGGCCATGTAGTAATTCGGAGCAGAACGGAAGTCCTCCAGAAAGTTCGGATATGAATCTTTATCGCCGTATAAACCAGAACCTAGACCCAAACCGGCAGGCGTGGGGCCAAAATTAAAAGCGCTGCCGGGCACCACGCTAGACGTTTTCAAAGATATTGCACTCGGTTCTATTGATGAATTGCCTTTTAAGCCTGCGTACGACTGGAAGCCCTGATTTGTTGGATTCGGTTGTTGAGTTTCACTGGAGTTTGTCGTGGTAACTGGAACGACGGACACATTTTTATCAATAATAATGAAAATGTACCGAGCGGTCCAGTATAATTGTCGCCCCATATTTTCTCCATTATTTTTGTAAACGTGCAAAAAAGAGGTATATAGTTATTAGGATGAGTCAAAAAAATCGACTATTTTTTTTTTTACTTTATACTCTGAAAAATAGGTTGCTAGACACCTCTAGAAAATTCTCTCCAAATATGAGCTCTTCATTTTAATAGGAAGGTTCTCCGCTTTGCAATTTTCCATTTTTTCCTCAGTATTAGAAAAAAAAATTCATATCTCTCTATCAACTGTTCGTTAAAAATATCTCTCCTCGTATACTTGTAGGAAATTGAACGCTCTACAAAAATGGTCTCTTATGATTAGTCCATTAAATAAAGCGTTTAAAAGATATTCATCGTCAAACTTCAATGCACGCCAATTTTAACAGTTTTTGATTAATAATTGGAAAAATTTCAATTTAGTTTGAGTTTCATGGAAATTTACACAAATTTGAGTTTCTGGTGGTGCTCCTAATGAAGTCAAAAATATTCTTTGCCATCATACTCAATGGTTAAAATTACAAAAAAGTTTCAAAAAAAAAAAATCAGCACAAAACCAAAATGTTTGAAATTTTATAACCCACTTGATAGTCAAATAAAAAAACTTTTTAATAACAAATTGAACATTTTTTTTCTTTAAGATTAATACTTTTCATAATAAATTTCTAACAAAAACGTTATTTTTTCAAGATTTAATTAATCATTGACTCTCAGTCAGAAATAATGCACTAATTTTTTTTCGATGTAACCAAACATGCTTACGACTAAAAAAAAAATAGAAAAATAGTTTAAACATTTCTGTTTATAGAAACTCAAAGTTGTGTAAATTTCCCTGAAACTCAAACTAAATTGAAAATTTCCGAATTATTAATCAAAAACTGTTAAAGTTGGCGTGCATTGAAGTTTGACGATGAATATCTTTTAAGCGCTTTATTTAATGGAATAATCATAAGAGACTATTTTTGTAGAGCAGTTAATTTCCTACAAAACTATGAATTGCGCATTTCATAATGATTTCTTGTTAACGAGTTATAAAATTCATAAGCAAAACAGAAATTTGTCTTAAAATAATTAAACTTCAACCTTTAATATCTCCAAAACGGTGAGGTTTACGAAAAAATTGTAAGAGACCATTTTTGTAGAGCATTCAATTTCGTACAAGTATATGAGGAGAGATATTTTTAACGAACAGTTGATAGAGAGATATGAATTTTTTTTTCTAATACTGAGGAAAAAATGGAAAACTGTAAAGCTGAGGACCTTCCTATTAAAATTAAGAGCTCATATTTGGATAGAATTTTCTAGAGGTGTCTGGCAACCTATTTTTCAGAGTATAAAGTAAAAAAATTTTTTTGACCCACCCTAATAGTTATGGTCGTAAAAGGTATAACCTCCACTGCTTTGTCAAGTTTTTTTGTAATAAACGGATTTATTTTCATTCAATTTTAGGTAATCATCAATGCTACTACAGTTTTCACTACTGAAATTTGCGTTTTATTGTGAAAATGATTAGTGAACAAAATGTTTAACTGTGAGAGGATAGTGTGTATATTAAATGTGAATATCTCTTTTGCTATTAGAGATAGACCCTTCAAACCTATACCACTGTATTCGTAAGTGTTATGTCTAAAAAAAAAATCCACGTTAGGCCTACGTCTTTGGAACCCAATGTTCAATTATTGCTTTCACAACCAGATATTAGAAAATTTAAAGTATTTTAACATTTTTTCCAATAAATAATGAATAAAATAGTGCGGGGTGACTCTTATGATAGACCATTCAGTTTTTTTTTATTTGGCAAGTAAAAACGAAATATAAATTATTAGAATATCAAAAGAACCGGCAAGTTCCGGGTAAATAAAAAAATTAGTTAATAAGGAATTTAATGTTAAAAATTAAATATGAGAACACGTAAACAGTCGGGTAGTTGGGAATGTCGTATAATTGACGGATGGTTAAAGAAAGTTCCACTCTAAGACAAGACAGGAACAGATAGAATGAATATCTAATATATCTAAATTTAAATCATCATTAGAGAGGAAAAAAAAATAAAAATCTAAACTTCATTTGACTTACCGCTTTTGCTGCTCTTCCTCTTCTTGGCCTTCTTCTCCTGCGTCGGCTGAGGCTGCAGATTCCCCTTAGGGTCGCCTTGCATCAATCCTGGATTCTGCAGCTCGGTCATCTGCCTGTTATACATGCCCGAGCCCGCGCCCTGCACGTTCTGATTGTAGGACTGCATGGCCGCCACGTTGGCCTGACTGAACATGGGCAGGCCCGAGCCACCGCTTGAAATCGGCTTGTTGAACATGTGCGGCGCACCCAACCCTTTATCGGAATAGTAGGACGCCGAAGTCTGCAGTCCCGTTATGATGCACTCGTCGTTACCGAAACGATCGACGATGTGCGACAGATTCGTTATGTTCCTTCCCAAACCCAACGGCTGGTCGACGTCTATCGTCGATGTGTTATAAGTCGGCCTGGGTATCGACACTTCGGGTTTATATCCGCCGGGCACCTCTTGCAGCCTGTCGCCATCGGTAGGAGCACTGCTCGGGTGCACGACAGCGTTAAAATTACCGTGACCCTGTTGGGGGTTCGCCGTGGGTCGGTTCAGCTCCACGCCTTTGTATCCCAACTGTTGCACGGCCGTTATGGTGGCCTGATTGGATCCCGCCGAGGGTTGGCACTGTTGCTTCTGCGACATGGTCGACGGCACGGTCGTTCGGGTGTAACTCAATTCGGGCCTATTGAACTGCTGCAGGGCCCTGCTGAAGTTCACATCCGGACCGCTGTAGCCCATGTTGGTGTACTTCGACATATCCACTTTGTTTGGCTGGCTCGTAACGAGCGTTCTGGTCGTGGGCATGTTGAGATATCCGGGATCGTTACCGAACGAGGAAGCGTAAGGGCTTGATGCGGCGGCAGATGTGTAATTGATATTCCTCGCATTCGCCGAGTCCTTTTGGATCTGTTGGGGCTGCTGCGGGCCATGTTCTTGGGGAAGAGATGCGCCTCCAAACGAATCGATGGGCGTCTGTACCGATATAGGTTTCGGATCGGGGATGTTCTGGTGGATGTACAGTTTCGGGTTGTCCTTCATATCCTGGCTCATGGTTTCCAGGCCCATCTGCAAACCTCTGTCCATTTCCCTTTGAGGCACCCTCGCGTCCACGTCGAATCTCTGGTTGTTATCGTTGTCGCTGTAAACTCTCTTCTTGACGGGAAAAACGGCAATTTGTGGAGCCTGCTGCAGGACTTTCTCGGACATGGGATTCTGTTCTTCTTGGAATACGTCGATGCCCGTGGCGTTAGCGTGAACGTTGGGCGATTGCTGGGGGGGAACGCCCAAGGAACGCACGCTCGGGGAATTTGGACACTGGACAGCGGGAGACTGCTGCTGGGGGTGCATTCGAGGAGAATTCTGCGGGAGCGTGTTGGGAGAGGGCTGCTGGTATACGCCCGGCGATTGCTGGGGATGTACGTCCGGCGAGTGCTGAGAATGAACGCTGGGCGACTGTTGGGAGTGCACGCTGGGCGAATGCTGAGAAAGTACGCCGGGTGAATGCTGGGAAAGCACACCGGGCGAGTGCTGGGAGTGCACGCCGGACGAATGTTGTGGGGAGTGCGGAGAATGGACGCCGGGAGATTGCACGTTGGGAGAATGCGCTAGACCCGGAGACTGCTGCGGGTGGGGGGCGGGCGACGACTGGTTGCTAGCCGGTGAGTTCGCGGTGTAATTTTGAGCGGTTTTGGCCTGATACTGATCCGTCAGGGATTTGGAGGTGTCGTAGTAGGAGGAACTGGACATCTCCAAGTTGTAGGGAGGGGTGGGGTTAGTGCTGGAGTAGTTGGGCGGGTGAGTGTAGTATGGGGAGTTGACGTAGGAATAGTAAGAACTCTCGGTCGTGTTGGGCGTGTACACATGTTCCGAGTACTGCGGGTACGGGGACTGGGGGATTTCCCGCGGGCTACAAGATTTGTCGGGGCTGCTCTTGTTAGATACCGTATCCTGATAGAACCCCACCCTGATTTGGCCGTTGATGGTGGGATAAGCGGCCGCCTTTGGGGATATATCGGGACGGGGTGAAGCCATTATCGGAGAAGCGCCCGACGGGGATCTGTGAAGAGGCGAGGGATATGGGGCCGGGTATGCACCCCTTTCGTCCATCCCCACTCGTGGAGAATCCATATCCTGGCTGAACGACGATCTTTCCGATACGCTACTCCCTGTACTGATTTTTCTTTGTCTCGTAACGGGCTGACCGTGGATCGGTATTGGGCTGTCGGGATTTGGCGAAGCCGTTGATGTGGCAACTTTGGCCGTTTTATTATCCTCACACTTTTCATTCTCCTTGCTGTCGGGCTTTGATTCGGGCTTCTTTTGTGGCGGTTGAACTTTAGGTGCTCCGAACGCCTTAAACCACGCACTAAGGTTTGGTGTAGCCCCTCCGGAATTGTCCTCTGTTGTAGGATCCCCCTCTTGCTTGTCTTCCTTAATTTCTGCTTTCTCCTTCGCTTCTTCCTTCTTCTCTCCCTCATCAAGCGATTTGCAGGGCAAAACGGGTGGCGCTTCCTCTTTTGGAGCCGCAGTTGGAATTTTTTCCTCTTTCTTCTGATCGTCCACGAATTTGTGTTTTCCGAAACTGTCCAGAACCGAGCCCAAACTAAGTTTCGGAGCGTTGGTGTCGGTTTTTACTATCAATGAGTTCTTGGTGTCTTTCATTTTGGACAGAGGACCCAAGGGAAAGATTTCGTCGATCTTCGTACTTTGGACATTGGAAATGAGGTTTCCTTTGCTCTTCCCCGGTTGCAGCCTGTCTATGGTTCTTTGAATTTCTCGTCTTTTGAAGAATTTTGCTGGATCTCTAAACGGTCGCCTCTTGAAATCCTTCGTGCTGTCTTTCTTAACCGCCGATAGTTTCTCTGGTTTCTTACCGGGAACTTGATCGATCCTGCCGGTTATTATGTCAAATTCATCCAAACCGGTATAAGACGGTGAGTTGCTGGCCGAACTGAACTCTGAGAATTTCGGCGTGTCGTCCAACCATTTATTTATATCTTTTAAGGTTTGTTCCGTGGCAATGCTGAGTGCGTCCATAGTCGATGAGTTCTTATTTATGTTATTGTTGCTTTTCGGCGGTTGGTTCTTCTTTAGTTTCTTGCTTTCGGATTGTACGCTGTCCATGGTACTGTTACCGTCCAATTCCAGTTCTACTTCTTTTTTCATTACCTTGTACGGCTTATCCTTTGCCTTAATTTTGTTTCTGTCGTCTTTTTCCTGTTTTTTCCCCTTATCCTTGTTCTCTTTCGGGTGATCTTCTTCAAATTCGAAATCGTACTCGGTGCTTTTAATACGGGCCATTTCGCTCTTGGCCTTTAGCTTTTCTATCGTCTCCCGTAACTTGTTGTGCTTGTCCTTGGGTTTAGGCGATATGGGTGGAGAAGAACTACGTTTTATTTTGTCCTCGAAGACAGCATCCCGCTTCTGATCTTCCGAGGAGTAATTCAGTTTACTGTGTTTCTTATGTTTTCCTAAAACAAAAAGGGATATTTATTCCTACGATGAAATCGGGCAGGTTTTTATTAACGCCTGTTAGTTCAGTTACAATTTTATTTGTTTGTGACTCGATTGTTGTTTATTTTGTGTCATACCTAATTAAATTTTACCTTTAGATAAGAAATCCTCGGTGTCGCTTAAATCCTGGGAGTGTCTTTTCTTCATGTGCTTCTTTGGCGAGAAATCGAATCTGTCATCGGGGCTCGAGGCGGGCCAGGAGGGGGGTGGGCTGCTTAAGTCGCTCCTCGGAGGGCTCCTGCTGGGGCTCCTGCTTGAACTTCTACTCCTCGCCAAAATTTTCTTCTTCTCCTTTCTGGACGACTTCTTTGTTTTAGAATTCCTACTTTCCTTACACGATTTCTTGATTTCATCAGTTTCTTTCCTCATCGTTTCAGTTTTTGCCTTGCTATTTTCGATTTTTTCCTTCCTAGCCTCCGATTTCTCTTTTCTCGATTCACTTTTCTCCTTCTTACTCTTGGCGTTCTTAACTTGCTTCTTGGTAACCTTCTCCTCCCTCTCCGCCTTCTTAGATTTCGTAGTTTTCTGTTTAGGTTTTTCCTCTGATGATTCGTGTGAGACGCTCCTCCTGCTGGCCGAGGATTCTTCCGAACGGGATCTGTCCCGTTTCTTATCCGTTTGAGCTGCTAACATAGGTTTCCGTTTAGATACGCCGGTAGTTTGGTCTTTTTTCTTCTTTGAGGCCTTGTTGTCGGTGTCCGTGTCTAAAACTTCCACGGCAATTTCGTCATCGGAAGATATCTGGTCCAAATACTTTTCGGTTGCCTTTTCGAATACTTGCAGCAAGTTATCCACCATCTCGGTGTATTCTGAAAGAAAAAAGACCGGAATCAATGCAATCCGTAAAGTATATGTGGATGTAAAAAAAATAATAAAACCAGCATATTGAACATATTAAAAAACTAATGAGAAAAAAAAATACCATTTTCAGCACCATTGTATAATCTGCAGTTGTCGACGATTAACTGAAAATCTGCCTGGAACTTGGAAAAGTTTTTGTAACACCCCGACTCCAGCCGTTCCTCCATAGTCTGCAGGTCCATAGGTTTTCGAACGATCGAATAATAGTTTGGAGCATACTCCTCCTCAACGGGATCGGCGAAAGGCCAAGCGTCCTCGTGGTTCTTGACGAAGTCCAAGATCTTGTGCATACCGGTCTGCAAATCCTCGTCGGTTTGACGGAATCTGTAAAAATATTTATCCGTTCAAAAATGGGAACCTTGGCGACTCACAGACTTCCACATTACCATGACCACAAAACAGCAAAAGTCAATTTTAAATCTCGGAGGGTTCGATGCGGGGCCATGCAAGATGCAAGTAAAGAAAGCCAAAATTTAGCAGCCAACGTTTTTATTCATCTAAATTTGAACATTCAATTCATAAGCAAATAACTGAACTATAATTTAAGTATGGTATGCCTAAACAATTTTTCTAAAAAATATATACGAGTACGTTAATCCCTGTTTAGTTGAAGGGGTAAACGATGTAATAAGACTAATCTGCAAAAAATAAACACACTGTTAATTGGTCCGTACTTTTCTCAATAAGTTAAAAAATACAAAGTAGGATCGACAGATTTTAATTTAAAAAAAAATAATTAATTAAACTACTATTTCATTACTTCCCTCTTCAAAATAGGACATTACTAAATTAGGGCGGTAAATATTAGAAATTTGTCCAAGGTTTTTATAATTAATTCTAAAAATTCAGTATTCTGTTAATAATACCGTTAAATTTCTCTAATTTGGTCCAGTCATACGTGGTGGAATTAAAATACTTTATTGGCAGCTGTTATGACACAAATCAAGATGGTTAAAATTAAAAAAAATATATATGAACTTTTTAATGCAGTTGCAGTTTTTTATTGTCCAGAAAAGTTCATGCAGGATGTAGATTTTTCAACTGTTTTTTTTTTGCATTTCGAAATTAACCATGCTTTCGTTTTTTGTCAATTTGAGACATAAACTTAGTCGTTAAATTTGGCCAAGCATTTCAGTTGCACCCAGTATAAAATAATAAGGAAACAAAAACTGATAAATATTAATTTAAAATATGTAAGAGATAGACACATTTTGGCTTTCTTGTCGTCTTCGTTCTCATCTAAATACTAATTGAGAAATTTGTGTAGGCATAATTTACAAAAACCTAAAAGAATAATTGTACATATTATACTAGAATATCAATCCATTCGCTCAATTTATTAAGATTAAGGTCAAACTAAGTACATTTAAAAAATTATTTAAACCTTTCTTAAATTTATTGAGTACTGAATTTGCAAGACCCTACAAATAATAAAATTACGTTTTTTATTTTTCAGTACGGATATTTCAAAAGTAAAAGAAAAAAAAAAGATAACTTTTAATAATTTGGACAAATATCCGAAGGACTATTTGAAATAATTATGAATACCTTGATCTGTTGATGTGGAGCATATTAAATATAGACACAAAGCCTTCAACACTCACAATTTGACTATCTTAATACTTTTTTCGGGACATGCCACCTCAATAAAAAAAATCATAGTTGGACCTTAAAAAGTGAACAACAACAAAACAAACATGACCAACTGAAACTGACATACTTTATCCTTCTCCTACACCCACTTGCACTATTCAACATCTGTTTTTTTCTAAAAAATCTACAAAGAAATAATATTTTATTTTATGTTTTGGGCTGCTGTGTAAACATTAGTTGTGATTTACTGTAACCTGATCTGGTGGAGGAATCTACATAAAGGGCTTCTCCAGGGTCAGAAATGTAAATGTAAATAAACAAAGAGCTTCCATGCACTTCGAAATGCTTTGTTAAATAATTCGTTGATGTAAAGAAACGTTCTACAGTAGGCGATACTTGATTTCTTGAAATGTATTGAAATGCTTATTTTTGGAGAACTTTCATCCAACACAAACGGCAACAAATGAGTAGAATTGAGAAGAACTTAAGAATTTATGTTCAACATGGTATATTTGTGTAAAATTAATAAACGTGAAATATTTTCTGAAGTGTGCAAAATAATTTTTCTTTTTTGTGATCCTGACGAGAATGCTCGCGCAATATGTTTTTTTCGTGTGCAAACCTTAATGATTATTTTCAAATACACATTAAAATCAATCTTGCCACGTGCAAAAAGTACCTTTTTTGTGTTTTGACAATTTTTTGATGTGCATGGCATGTACAACTGTCTTTTCAATTTTTATGTTAGTATTTCCCATATAGCGTATAAATCTACTGGTAACATCAAAAAAGGCAAAAACACTACAAATTTCAATTTTTTTACGCTACACATCAAAAATTACATTATCGCATTTTCACCCCTCACCCGTTGCAACAAACTTTTTGTTTATGCCTTAACGATGCGTGTGAAAAGAACGTTGACAATTTGCAAGATAATTTCGTGCACGTTTACTTATTTGAATGTTTTTTTACACTTTGCCGTATAAATTTATTTATTTACTGTCTTTGCATTACAAGAGCGAATAAAATTTTCTATACTATGAACGTATTTCTTAACGCCCATTTGGAAAATTAGATAAATTTTCAAGTGTCAATATTTATTAAACAATTTAGTAAATTGTCTCAAGTTACAGACTTCGTTTTCACATATTTACAGTGTGGAAGAAAAGTATGAAATAAAGAACAACTAAATTTCATGATATTTTCTTGGAGGCACATTTTTTGCATTTTAAAAAGACACTTTTCCATGTACCCACATAAGAGGCGCAATGGAATATTTTTAAAAACGTCAACACAGAAATTGGGAACAAATTGCGTAATTTCAACAGACAAGATTAACAGTTGTGTTTAAAGCACTCAAATCTCTTAAATATTATAAGACATGAAAAAAAAAATTAAAAATTGTATACTTACACTTGCGAAGTTTTTAATTTTTTCTTATTTGGATTCGTAACAGGCTGAATCAATATCTGTCCTGTTGCGGCTGAAAGGGAATTGTTAGTTTGGCGACCCACTGTCGTAGGCCTACAAGAAGCAGTTTTTGCGGTACTATCTCTATTTTTCTTATTCTTCTTATTATACTTTGCCAATTTTGAGGTGACCGTATCTGAAAGAGATTAAAACAATAATTTTTTCCATGCATTGATCCGTATTTTCTTAAAAGAACAAAGATTTTTAACTGGGGCAAACATGGTGTTAACCCAATTTAAGATGAAATTATTAGGTGAAAAATTACTTAAATAAATTTTCTGATTCAGTTCGTTATTGATTTAATTAAAATTAAAAAAAATAGTAAAGAAGAACTTAAGATAGTAGCAAGCCAGAAAGTAGTAATTAAAATATAATTAAAAAAGTAGTAATGGTACATTGTTAAGAAATTACTTTGAATAATTCCTTACCTTTACTGCTTGCTGAGCCGCTGGATAATTTCCTTTGCCTGCTTTTAGTTTTTCTCTTTTTATTACCGGCCATCTCATGCCGACCCTCAGACAATTCGTTCGAACTGGCTTCTTCACTTCGTTCCTTTGGTCCTACAGATTTTTCATCGGACCGTCCTTCCGATATTTCGCTCAAACTGTCTTCGTCGCTTTGTTCTTTCAACTTTGTCCGCCTCTCGTAGGCCTCCTGCCTCCTTTTTTCCAAGTCCCTCTTCCTCTGCCGCTCCTCCTTTTCTAACCTAGCCTTCTCTTTTTCTTCTAGTCTCAACTTCTCCTCCTGCTGGACTTTTTCCACTACCTTTTCCGACTCCACCTGATAAAATAATGGCAATTGGACCGAATAAAACAAAAAAAGTCTATATATTACTAACCAATTTTTGTATGCGACTGGACGTCCTCCTGGGCAGATTCTCTAGTAACCTTTTCCTGGCCTGACTCTCCTTCTCTTTAAACAACCTGGGCAGTTCCGGCAGAAAATTTTCACTGAGGGTATGATGCAACTGCCTTTCCGCTTTGCATGTGGACTTTTTAAACTTTTTGGTCAACTGAAACCAATCGTCCTCCGTGAAACAAATAACCTGCCAAACTGATTTCTTCTTATTGTTTTTCGTCTTGAAATCCTCCCTGTACAGCCGAGTCCCATAAAAATACCAATACGCCGACTCGTTGTTGTCATAACCTAGGGGTTCGACACGCAGACTGTCAGCTTCCAAGTTTTTCAATTGATCCAACACATCGTCGGCATCCAAACGGAAATCGCAGAGGGCGTGAAGTATATCGACCTTGGTATGTAAGGGTAACAGCTGGAAATCTATATCCGTGTTAAAGGGGTTATACCGATCATGTTCCTGACACTTTTGCCGAAAGAGTCTCCTCAAAAACATCTGATAATTAAATGTCGATATTTCATTGTTGGGAAGGCAACCGCTGAGCAATCTCACTATAAGCTCTTGTAACCACGAAGATTCTTCTGTTCCATCAGTTAAAAGAGCCTCTTCTAAATCCTATAATAGAACAGTTTTCAAAAAATGTTCTGTAAAATACAACAGAATTATTCGAACGCAAACCTATTGTGCAACAGGAAAATGAAATAATGTAAAACATAGTCCTATAATAATAAGGGATTGTATACATTAATAATTAATGCAACTTTGTTTAATTAATGATTTCTTTCAGGTAAGTAATAAAATTAATAGGTACCTACTAGCATATAATAGGTAGTTATAAAGTAAAACAAGTTCAAATGCTTGCCAAATGTCATTTAAGTATGCAAGTATAAATATTTAATATTTTTAACCATGTCAAATTATTATCTGTAAAGTTGCTTTTTAAGCAATTTTTCAATATCAACAGTGCATTTATCACTACTAGCTAACATGAACAAAATCTAAGAGTTCAATATTATCTTTAGTAAAGTTTTCTGTGGCAAATTTATGGCAAATGATTTGTTTGTGTGTTTGCATGCACTAATACTGTCTGCATATTTTATTTATTTTATTTATATTCATTTAGTTGCTGTGAGACTATGATGCTATTTAAGGTGATATAAGATAATAGTATTTGTTGTGTACAAATGTGTACTCATTTTCTTGCCCATCCTTTGATTGCAAAAAAACTAAAATTTATTTACAGCAGTGCCGCAACCAAAGGGAAGGGAAGGGCATTGTTCTACCTAGTGCAATATTTGCCCTGTCAGAGATAAATGATCAAGTAACTAACAAGTACTGACTACCAAACTCTGATTTGTATTGCTTCGATAAAATATTATTTGTCCTGCTTAAAGTTTCTCCCTGGCTACAACCCTGATATATAAGTTTTTCGATGATAATTACAAAATGAAATCTTATTTATACAGCAACTATAACTTACCGAGTACAAACAAAATGTAGTTGAAGTCAGTGCACTGTTTATTTCAATATTTCATATCATTCTGAGAAAAATCTACAATGGCTAGATATAAATCTCAACAGTGACTTATTGCAGGTATAATAAGATTTACAGTTCTTACCTCGATATCAAAATCCAAAAGGTTAAATGCTGTTCGAAACAACGAACAAAAGTGAGCGATGCTTGGTACCTCCCACCATGACTGTATATCTTAAAGAACAAAAAAATATTGTAAAAATCACTCTCAGTTACTGTTTTAACGGTATTTTTCTAATATCGACACTACAAACATAAACACACCTAGGATGCTAATGAAAGTTGGAAACATAACCTATTTGTAGATCAATACGTACGACGACGTTAACATACAATTTACAGTCAAAGTTTTCACCAAACTATTTAGTTTTCCATATTAATATCGTTCGGATATTCCACATTCATTGGATTATTTATCATCTGTTGTCAAAAATAATCCCATTTCTTTCTCAAACAAGCTTTGATTTTGATAAGCTTCCTTTAATTGTGGTACTAACTGGTAAATGGAGCGTCTATATATACGTCATATTTCCACTTGAAACAATTGTGTTTCGACGTATACAACTAATTGATATTTACCATACATATGTAAAACTAATTTTATAATGTTATTGCAACATTTATCGAACTGTATGTCACATACTTAGATATTTATTTCCTCAAAAACCGGAAGTTATTTAAGAGTAGGTATATTGCTTTGCCGCTTGGTATTGTTTTGTTGGTAACCAATAGAGCATTTGAATGGAGTGGGTAAAGTGGGGGTGAAAGACCTTTATTTTGACAATTAGGGCAGGGCTGGCTGAGGCCGAAGCCGAAATACAATAACTAAAGGGCCAAATTTAAAGGCATTCTTCATAAAGCATGCTTTAATTTTGTCAACTTTATTAGAATTATAATTGAATTAGATTCGAACATTGTAGGAAATTGGAAATAAAATATGCAGCCACCAATCGGTGTACAGTGCGTTTAGCGTTCTCGCAAATTGAAGGTGGCTATTTTGAGATTTTAATGGTATTTGGGACTATTCATCTCTATACACATGGAGACTACACACGTCGTCATGATTTCCGTTATGGGGTGTATAGTGTGTACCCACATAACACTTTTGTGTGTGTGTGTGTGTGTACCACATACTTCTATCTATAGAAGTATGTGGTGTGTACCTAGTCACATATCTGTGCCCTAGTATAGAGAAGTACATATCTATATTTTGTGTTGGGATTAAAACTGTCTAGTCGACCCGTTAGAAGAAGAAGAAGCCTAGAAATATCACATTTTGAAGAAGAATAAGTAAAGTGACTGACGAATGTTGTCAATTATTAAAACAATTCAAAATTAATGAAGATTGAAAATAGTTAACCAACTTATATATTAAATAATTATGTCTTTTAACAGAGGAAATCCCGATTTTCCTTTGGAAGCTCTTAAAGTTCACGGTCCAAATTATTTAAAACATGCTTTAACTAGTTGTACAGATCCTTTAAAGGCGATTGAAGAATTTCAGGTAATTGATCAAGTTATTACTTTCTCAGGTGCTGGTTTGTTAATTGAATTTGAATTGTTTAGGTTACTAATGGAATTCTTTTGCCTTCCTTGAGACCAATGCTACCATTATTAGATTTACATGGAGTTAGGCGTTTGGATTTTCACATGTCCGTGGTAGAGGTACGCAATTTTTCTCAGGTCACATTGTAGGTAGTGAAAAAAATTTTATTTTTATTGGCTGACTTTATTTAATATTACGTAAATGAAAGGAACTGTTTCCCTAGGAATTAAGAGAAAAGCTCATCAACCACATAAATGAAATAGGAAAACAAGAAGGAAAAGAGCGTGATCACAAACTAAAGGAACTCTTAGTAAAAAGCTTTCCAGTTGTTAAAGTAAAAGCTATGAGACCAATAGTGATGGCAATTTTAAAAAATACGGCTCAAATAGATGATCACTATTTAAAAGTTTTGGTTAGAGACCGCGAACTATATAATGACACTGATACTGAAGTTAAGAGACAAATTTGGAAGGATAATCAGTCATTATTTGGGGATGAAGTTTCTCCGCTACTAAGTCAGTATATTACCGAAAAAGAAAATGTACTATTTGATCATATGAACTTAAGTACACAATTTTTCGGACCTTCTCCGAAGGTATGGATTTTATTTGAATGCAGCATTTCTTTAATAAAAAAAGGTCGCACAGTGTGCCTGTTCCCACAAATTCTTATTTATAATATGAAACTTTGTTTTTAGGTCAGACGGCAGGGGGAAGTTGTACAGAAATTGGCTCACATGATAGGAAACAGTGTGAAATTGTATGACATGGTATTACAATTTTTAAGGACGTTATTTCTACGTACACGAATCGTACACTATTGTACCCTAAGGGCAGAACTTCTAATGGCGTTGCACGACTTAGAAGTTCAAGATATTATTTCCATAGATCCTTGTCATAAGTTCACTTGGTGTTTAGACGCGTGCATCAGAGAGAAGAATGTGGACATAAAGAGGTCGAGAGAACTGCAAGGGTTTTTAGATAACGTTAAAAGGGGACAAGAGCAAGTACTGGGAGATCTGTCGATGACATTATGTGACCCGTATGCCATAAATTTTCTAGCTACGTCGGCCATAAAAATTCTACAACATTTGATACATAACGAGGGTATGCCACGGGTAGGTAAACTTTAAGTTTTTACATCAAGTATTAAAAAAATATCAATACAGGGTTAACCTTAGATTCACACATCCACACCAAGTCTCATTATCAATTTTTACGTTCGGTGCAAAACACAACTTGATCTTATAATTTATTTTTAAGGACAACACAATCTTGATACTCCTGCTGAGAATGTTAGCTTTGGGATTGAGTGCGTGGGTGATGATCGATTCCCAGGACTTCAAGGAACCAAAGCTGGACAGCCAAGTGGTGACTAAGTTCTTGCCCGCCCTTATGTCGCTGATGGTCGACGATCAGGTTCGTCAGTTATCGACGAAGCTGCCTCCCGACGAAAGAGAAGCGGCCATAACTGTGATTGAACATTCGGGACCACTGCCTGATGCGGTCGAGGCTTACATTCAGGACAGCACGGTTGCCAGCATACTGGCCATGTATTATACCCTGCATGTGGCGCGGCTGAAAGATAGGGTTGGCCTGCTCAGGATTCTTACCGTTCTGGCTAATTGTAAGGACGACAGGGCTTTTGAAGATCCATTCCTGCACTCGCTGGTAAGTTATCTTTATTATTAATGTAAGGTGCGACGTTGGTGTTTGCAAGCTGTGAGCTAAAGAATGCGGTTCGTTTATTACAAAATAAGTCATTTTTAGGTTTGTCTTCTCATTCACAATCCCGAAGAGTTCCAAGCGGAAGATTTCTGCACGGCTTTGTTCGACGAATTCTTCTTCGCGGGCCTGTCGCGGGATAACGTAACGAGGCATCTGCTGAAATTATTGTGGTACGTCCACCATAAGTTGCCTGCCAACAGACTACTCTCTTTGATGAAAGCGTTGCAGCCCACGCATCAGCACAGCGAGAAGGTTCATACGCTCTTTAAACTTCTGCAAGATAAAATTAATTCGCAGGAAGAATCGACCGCCCCCACCGACATGGATATCGATATCAACTCTCCTCTAATGAGCGTTCCTACCCCAGCGCCATATCATCATACTTTGTAAATATATTTTTTTTGTTTTCGTTGCAGAAAGTTAACTTTGAATAAATTCTTTTATTTATTAGTATGTTAATTTATTTCATATACAGGCTGTTACAAATTTGCTACTCACTACAGGAATCTCGGAAATGGTAAGAGGTACTGAGTAGCTTAAATGGGGGCAAAGTTCATTAAGTATGTCCTACACCTAAAGTTGTTAGTTTTTAAGATATAGCAACATTTCTGGAAAAACCTAATTTTTAATATTTTCGGTCGCTCGAAATGGCTTTGGAAAAAACTGTCACATTGTGTCGCAACTTGTCAGTTCATAATTTATCATTCCATTTTGAGTTAATTTTATTAGTTAATATTTATTTGTGGTACCCATTCTATAAAATAATAAAGATTAAGTTTTTTCAGAAATGTTGCTATATCTTAAAAACTAACAATTTTAATATGTTTTAACGATGCTTAATAAAAGTTGAAGTGGACCGATATGTGAATAAAATAGAACAATAAAATACAGGGTGTTCCAATTGAAAAATTTTACAAAATCAAGTTTAAACTTTCTAAAAATATGATCGTATTATAAAAAATGGCCTGTATAAAATATTGATATTAGCTAATATAGGAGTCTTTCCCTAACATTTGCCAACAACTCTGTCTAATTATTTTATTCCAAGTGTTAGTAGCTGAAAGTTAATACAACTTCTTCGAGGTCATGTTTTTCCAAAATTCGAAGAATTTTCTACATAACTTGGCAACCCCGCACTAAAACGATAAACTGTTTATATTGGCATATATAGAGTTTTCTGGGAAATCCATGTTTAAAAATATATAGGGTGTCCATTTAAAAATGTAATATTTGGTATGTTCCGTTTTTACTCAACACCCTGTATGTATCAATTTAATTTTGTAGTTTAGGTTTCTTGATTCTGTACCTACAACTTTTATATAACTTTTATGAGTAACAATAGACGAGCGCAATTGCAACGCTAAGTCGCTTAGTTATCGAAATAAAAAAAACTGGCGTAGAACCAGGTCAGACATGGTAGGTTTTATTAAGCATGCGAGTGGGCATATGAAATGGTATTTTACGACATTTTTTGTTGGTCGGGATCTTTTTAATTTCGAAAAATTAAAAAAAAATCTATTTTTATGAGAACATGTTTTTTAAAGTCTCCACCGTTATATCTCAAAAAATAATTGTACTATCAGAGTAATTTTTTTTTTAAATTAAAGCAGACATAATAGCGCTTTTAACAGTACTAATGGATTTTATAAAAATCGCTTTTTCATTTCGCTAAAAATCAGGAAAACTTGATATTTAAATTTTGTGTAATACAATTTTCACCAATCGATAAACTTTTTTATTTATGATTTTTTTTATATACATGCAGCGAAGAAAATGAAGCCCAAACACTACATAAATTTTTGAAATAATTAGTTTTTTCCTAAAGCTTATAGTTTGGCAACAAGCGATTATTTCATAGCGCGCTAAACTGATGCATGGGGCGTCCAACGTAATGTGTAATCTACATAGTGTACGGCTTGCGGGATTTGGAGTATATAGGTTCGTGCGTAATAAGCAGTGTGTAATAATCATCAGAACATATTAAGTTTTAAGACAATGAAGTGCATTATTTGTAAGAAAACTGTGCGGGATGATG